TTAAATCTTTAGAGAAAAGCAGAAACAAACATTTAGGAAGACATAAAATTTTTTAGATAATATATACCCATACGCCGTTTCACTCTGTTTCCTGGGATAGATGATTTGTCCCTTTTCTTCAGTTGTCTCATTTGTCTTGTGTTCTTCAGATTCCTTAACCTTCATTCTCCTAAAAGACAAAAACAAAAACCTTTCCCCAAGTTATAGTGTTACTTTAAGAATCTTCTCCAATGCTGCTGTGGTTGAAGTGCTGTAATTTGTGCTTTTCTTGACCTGCTTTTATTTCTCCCTACATTCTAAAAGATAATCTTGCTATTTTTAGAAATCCTGGTTGGCAGTTACATACTTCCAGGGCCTGAAATAGACCATTCCCTGCTTTCTTGACTTTTAGAGTGCCATTATTCTGGTGTTTCTGCCTCTGTGTGTGTGTTGACATTTTCCCCTTACAGCTTTTAATATTGTTTCTTTGCTTTGCATTTTTGACATTGTGACTATGATATATTATATAGGGATTCTTCTCTGGTCATAACTATTAAGGAGTTATAAATGCCTCTTGATTTGGATGTCTATCCCTTTCTTGTATCTGTCTGTTACAATTTTATTGACTAAATTGCCTATACATTTTTTACCTCAGCTTCTTCTGCTAACTTTATTCTTGGGTTTGGTCTTGAAAGTTTTGGTAGCATTTGTACATCTGAAATTATTGTTGTCTTGACTTGTTTCTCCGTTCCTGATATTTGTTCTCTTACTTTGTCTTGTTTCTTGTTGTTGTTTGTTGGTAGTGATGATGATACGAGTGTGTGTCTGTGTGTGTGTGTGTCTGTGTGTGTGTGTGTGTGTGTCTGTGTGTGCGCGCACACATTATGTTTCCCTGTGAGCATTAGAGTAAGAGTTTTCGAGGGTGCTGAGGATCTGAACTTGGGTCCTCCTGCTTATGCACCAAGCACTTTGTCCACTGAACCATCTCTCTCTACTGTGTTTTTATTGGATAAATTGATCCTTTTATTTCACAAATTTGGTTCTTGTTCAGAGTCTCAGTTTCCTTGCTGATTTTTATCTCTCTCTCTCTCTCTCTTTTAATTTCTTCTCCAAGTTACTAACCATTTCAGTTCCTTTGCTTACTTTCTTGTCTGGATCCTGAATTGATTTTCTTCCCTTGTTCATCTGCTTATTTGAGATCTCTGCATGGTCACCGGTTCCTTTTAAATGTGGGACTTGGAAATATTTTGACATTTGAGTGATCTCACTATCTTTGGCTTTCATTATTTGGGAGTTACGAGTGTATGAAAGAGAAGTAGTGTTTTTCTGTTTGTTCTTTGATCCCACATCTCTGCTCTAGGTAACAATCAAGTGCCTGTACTCAAAAACGTGTGTCATTAAGACATCATACACACAAAAATAAAATTAAATAAAAATTAGAAATATAGGTAGAGGAATGGGCATCTCCACAGTGGGAACATAAAATGATGTGGCCACCCTGGAGAATGATTCAGTAGTTTCAGCCTACGTTCTCTTCGTGACAGCCAATACCTAGAAACATGCCAGTGTCCATCGACTACTGAGTTATCAGATAAGTGGGTAGAGTGGCTCTTCCCAATGACTGTCACTGCTAATAAAGAAAGCAAGGGACTGATGAACAAACAGGAGTGAGTGCTGGAGACATAATGCTAAGTGAAAAAAGACACAGACTTTTTATGATTCTGTTAACGTGTATGAAAGGCAACACTATAAACATAGAAAACAGGCCAGCTACCTGCAACTGGTTATGAGTGCAGAAGTTTATTGCAAATTGTCACAGTGTTGTGGTGTCCTGGAGCTGGACTGTGTGGTAGTTGCACAGTTGTTTGAATTTGCAGAAGTCCGTTTGAATTATACCTTTGAGATGTGTGAGTTTTATGATATGTGATACTTCATTATTACTGTTATAAACGGTCAAAAATGTATTTTGAAAGCATCCTTTTCCTTCTCCAGGTAATTCTCTGCAGGGAATTTTCTGAGAAGCTGCAACAGTTTCCTCTGCTGGCTTCTTGGTACCAGCGGATTCAGGAAGTGCCCAAAGTGAAAACGGCAGCCTCTAAGTGTGGGATCCACTTTCTGTATTTACCAGAGTTGCTGAATTCTGAAAGTAGGACGCACCTGAACTCCACTGAAGCGGCAGCTGGAGAGGAACCAAACGACCCTTCGTTTACAGGAGGACCAAGACCAACCATGACCAAGTTAATGGTATTTAGCTTCTCTTGTACAGTTTTCTTTTTGAAAAGTAGCCCTTGAGCATTCTTTCCCAACGAGTAATCGTTTTCTCATGTCATCTATAACACACTTTATATACAGCTATTTGTGTCTGTATTTATCTAATAACGTTTCTGCTAGTCTTGCGTTCAAATAAGCCACAATAAATTGAATAGCTTTCATGCTGTTTCTCTTTGGAACCAAGTCAAAATACATAGTTTAAAAGTAATTATTTTTTAAGACATTTTTAGATATTCACATTGTGGTCCAATGTAACATCATATCTGGTCAAGTGTATCCTATAACCTAAACTAGCTGTGTTACAGAATTTTGATTTCAGTCTTTATTTTAGTTATTTAGTTAATGTTTCTTTGTCTGGTGTATTTAAAGTAACATGATAGTCTCCATCTATCTTTATACGAGTGTCATGATTTCATGATTTTTTTATAACTTCAGGTTTTTATGAGAATTTTATATATGAGTATGTGTTTACACCATTTCCACCTTCCCTGTTTCTTCTCCAACTTTGTCTCTGTCACTCCACCTCTCAAATTCATGGCCTGTTCTTTAATTACACACACACACACACACACACACACACACACACACACACCAAACCAAACAAAAACCCCACTGAATCCATTTTGCATTGCCTCTGTGGGTAGTGTCTAGGGGTGTCCACTTGGGATTAGATAACCTATCAGGCGACTCATTCCTGGTGAAAACTGATTCTCTCTCAACAGCCATAGCTCCCTGTAGGGTTTTCATCTTGGGGCCGGGCCTTGCGGTATTTCCCCCGTCTGAGGTTGGCTTGATGATGTGATGGGAGCTGTTTCTTTGCCATGTGTAGAAGAGACTATCTTGAAGAAAACATCCTAGCCGCCTGGATCTTACAATCTGTACCTTCTTCAATACTGCCTGAGCCTTGGGCCTTGTGTTGTAGCTGTATCAGCTGGGGTGGGCACACAGCAGTCTTTGTATTTTGACCAGTCATGGATTTCTGCAGTTGTCTTCATTGCTGCTAACAGAAGCATTGTGACTAGGAGTGAGACTACCCCTATCTGTGGGTTGAAGGTTAAGTGTTTAGAATTCAGTTAGACAGAAGTGAGTTCTTCTATAGGGTCCATGACTTCACCAGACATGGGTGGTTGGCTATGTTTACAGTACTAGGCATGAATTCTCTTCCACTGAGCAGGCCTTCAGTCCACTTAGATAGCTGTTGGTTAACCACAAGATAAAGATGCCACTGTTGCACCTCTGTGGATCTGTTTTGTGCTGGTCATTTTTGTGGCTCATGGCCTTTACAGCTGACTACAACTATTGATTGCTTCTCTCCCTTGGTAGCTTGGCCTACAGATACTATTGAAGCTAGTCCTCAGGGAGGAGGCTTCCAGGTCAGTTCTAGCTCAGATCCTCCAAGTCCTGTGACTGAAGTATGTGGTCTCTTTAAAATCCAATCTTGCCTATAAGTCCTGGGAGGTAGGCAAGGGCGATGGCACTGGCCTGTATTGTTCTGGGAGACTGCAGCTTTAAATTTAAGGTGACGATTTAAAGTTAAATTTAAAGAAATGGATGTAAAGAAATAGAATTTAAATAAATCTTTGAAATAAATGTAAAGATTTTAATAGACAGAAATGTGAATATCTCAATTTACTTTCCAAAGTGTGTATACTTGAGAAGGGTACATTTTGTTGTGTACTAGCAGTATCTCAATGTAGAAGTGTTATTTTAAAAGACCCTGAAGTAGGAATAAGATTGGAAATGAGTAATAGCAAAGTCAGAGTAATGGCAATAGAAATTCGATAGGTGACTTCAGAGAGATGTGGTGTTTATTGTTCTAGAAACAAATGAGTGCTTGATTTCTAGATCCATGGGTATACCTGTATCTCTAGTAAAGTGATTTTTCCCTTTATTTTGGGACCCAAATTCAGTTAGTTTTCATAGTAAAAAGTAATCTCATAGATAACTGTTATCAAATAGTTAAAGGTGAATTATCAGCAATTTTTATTATATTTTACTTGTTTCGTTATGTTTTTGTTTTCTCTTGAAAAAGATGGGCATTCTTAATGTTGCCTACTCTGGTCTCACTCGTGGGGTCAAGTAATTCTCCTACCTCAGATTTTGTAGTGCTGAGACTTCTAGATGTACACCACCATCCCTCGCTATAAATTTTCTTTAAATGGGCTTCCTAGAGATGATAATATCTGAACAGTGATCGTCTATGTTGTGGGATGTGGATTCACATTTCATGATTGGAAGAATATAAATCCATATATTTGCCATGCCAATATCTGTAGAACAAAGAATAAATTTACAGATTTTGGTTGTTTGTTGGTTGACTTGAGATAAATCTTATACAACCCAGGCTGGCTTTTATCTCCAGATCCAAGTGCTGGGATTAAAGCAGTGTTTCACCATGCCTAGCTTTAGATGCATAATTTCTAACATAGGAGAGAACCCTGGAGGACAATTTAATGACTTAAAAAATTGTTCTTCTTTAAAATTTTAGAATCTATTAGAGATACGACCACGGATAAACTGATAGGGTTATATTCTGCGGTACGCGTTATGTTGACAGTTTTTAGGTACATTGAATGAAGCTTGCAGTTTAAATAGGTGGTTTTCATGTGTAAAGATAGACATTGATGATGGACAGTGGAAAATCTTTTTTTTTTAATAATTTCTATAAATTTGTTTATTGATAAAGTTTTGTTTTCAAGTGATTTTTCTCTATTATACCGTGTGTGTATGTTTAGCCTGCCTGTATATATTTGTACCACATACTTGCTTGCTACCAGAGTAAGTCAGAAGAGGACATTGGATTCCCTGTAACTACTGTTAAGGATGGTTGTTAGTCACCATGTGGGTTTTGGAAACAAACCCACCAAGGTCTTCTGCAGGAGTGACAAATACTTTTAACTCCTAAGCCATTTCTTTGGTCCTGGCCTACTATATTTATTGACTTATTACTTTTATATGTTTTCAGCATTACTTTTTATTACTTCAATTAAAAAATAATAGCAATGTACTGATTTCAAAATAACATTTTGAACAGGAATTTTATATTTTTACAACATTTTGTATTTTTTATGTAACTAGATATTTGGGTACACATATGATTAATTTTAATTACCTTTGTTAGTGTAAAAAATAGAAATGTGGGCTTTGAAAACAGGATTTTCTTAGTGCACTAACTTGGAAAGCTTACTTCCTTTTCTAGGAAAAAGGCATTGAAGCGATCTTTTCTCCGCACCCCTGTCCTTCCTGGACCCTTGACTGGAAAAACCTTCCTGCTGCTGTCAGCCCAAAGGAAGGTGAGCTTTGGTTTGCTTGTTGGTGTAAGGTTTTAAGTTCAATCTGGGTACTCACTTCAGAGCCATCTTCCCATACTCAAAATGTCCCTTTGGCTGTATTTAATATTCTAATGATATATCTGCCATCCAGTGGGTTTTCATTTCATTTTTATTTTTAGATTTTTCATATCACTCAGATTTAATGTTTTCTACATTTTCCTACATTGACTTCATTAATTCTGTTTTTCTTTGATGACATAGTTTAAAACAAATCTTAAGTATTATATTTTAGGATGTACAAATGACATCATCAATAACTACAATTCCATTTATCACACTTAATAAAAATTAGGAAAATTCATTCATCATCTAGTAATTTATAAAATTTTCCTCATCTGTTTAAAATCTCGTTTTAAAGAAATATCTCTTTACTGCTTGGTGTTTATTTTAACAACTATATGTTTTATTTTCTTAAATTATATTTGGTTTGTTTTAAATAAATTTTTTCATGGTCATATTTCAGTTTGCTGATTTTATGATTTTTATGTTGGATACTTATTCTAATAGTTAATCGTGGTGTTCTAATTCTGTTATAATTTCTTTTGGTGAGTACACTCCTAATTACTTACTTTCTTGTGGATTTTGTAGTGTTAGAGTATGAATTCAGTTTGGCATTACCTTAATCTGTGGTTCTCTCGACAGTTTTGGGTTAAGGGTAAATCTTACAGAGTTAATATTTCCTCATTTCCAGCATCTCCAAATGTAGAACTTAAGACTGTCATCGTTAGCCTTTCAGCTTCCAGTTCTGTCTGTCTGTCTGTCCTCCTTTGTTGCTGGCTGGGACTTTTATGTGTGTTTTCTCAGGTTACCGCTTTCAGTGTTTCGCTTTTCTGTAGTCATGGTTTCCCCAGCTCTGCAGAGACACAGGAGCTTCTCGTCTCCATCCTGCTATTCCAGGGCAGGTCCTTAATAGGTAGAAATGTCCTCAGGGCAGCCTTGGTGCCGATTCAAGGTTAGTGCACCAATTTTCAGCCCTTCACCCTTTTAAAAAACTTGATGGATTTTCCTTACTTTTAGAAACTCCTTTAAACATGTAAAGGGAACTTGTTGATTTTTAAATACTGTTTAAAGTGCCTTTTTAGGTGGAAAAAAATTTCAGCATAGATCAAAGGTTTATTTCTTCAATTATTCTCTTGTTCTTTAGTTTTCTTTTTGTTGCAAGTGAGTTTTAAAAGTATATTTTATTAGCTCTTTGAGAATTCCATTCAAAGTGTTTCGATCATATTCATTGCACATCTTCCAACGATTCCCAGGTCCCCTCCCGCATGTTCTACTCATTCAACATTGTATTTCTTAAACCCATGAAAAACACCGTGTGCTTCCCAAATAGTCTCTGAAGTGTGGGCTTCCACTGGAGCATGGTCTACTTACCAGGTCTACACACTTAGAGAAAGCTGACTCTCCCCATCTCCGCAGCCAGCAGTTACCAATAGTAGGGGTGAGACTTCATGTCCAGCTCCTCTCTCCATACTGGGATCTGGTCTTTCTTGGGCTGGCCCAAGTCTTGCACATCCCATCACAACTGCCATGAATTGACATATGTTGCTATGTCCAGAGACACTGTTTCTGACCATGTCTTTTGCCCTCAGAAGGCAAGGGCAGGCGGATCTCTGTGAGTTCAAGGCCAGCCTGGTTTACAGAGGGAGTTCCTGGACAGCCAAGACTATAGAGAAACTCTGTCTCAAAAAACAAACAAACAAAAGCAATAAAAGGCACATTAATGATACAGGTAAAAAAATATTCTTGACATTTTTTGTTTATAATTTAATAACTTTTGAATTTTTTGGTATTTAAAAAACTAAAAACACACTAGGAAAAGTGAGACCAAAGGTTTTGGGGTTTTTTTTTTGTTTTTTTTTTAAACTGAGGAAAATTTCCCAAACATAAATGGATTTTTAAAATTTTTCTAAAGTTATGCTTAACTATGAAATAAAAAATCTGGGCATATTTAACTCAGAATTCTGCAAATTTATTACTGTTTTCTTTGTTGAGAGTGAAGTTCTCAGCAAACACTTAATTTTATTTTTCCTCTTATCTGAAGTTAAGTGCCTCAGAAATAGTGTATATAAACACAAAGTGTCCATGAACTTGTTTAGAACATAATAAGATTGCAATGAAGAGGTTTTTTATTTGCTTAGCAGTATTCTTGACTCAGTCCCAGAACAATGATAAACATTGATAAGCATAATAGGAATATAAAATGTTACAGTCACCCTAGAAAATCCTTTGGGAATTTCTATTCTTAAAATTAATTAGTTTTTATTAATTAATTTTTATTTTTAAATTTTGTGTAATATATTTTGATCATATTCTTTTTACTCTACAACTCATCCTTACCTCCCTCTGCACACAGCTTCATGTTTTTTCTCTCCCAAAAAGAAAAAGGAAAAAAAGAAAACAAATGTCAAAGCACACGTAATCCATAGGAAAAAATACCAGGCCGAACTAAGCAAACTAGAAAGCTCACACAAATGCAGAGTCCGTGTGGCGACCACTCCTGGTCATGGGCCTGCCCTGGAGTGTGCTTGGCTTACCCGGTGTCGCTCCATTGGAGAACACTGATTCTTCTCTCAGCAGGGATCAGTTGTACATGGCTTCCTGGTAAGGAGTGGGACACTGTGCCCATTTTTCCTTCTCCGTGCTTGGGTTTGTGTCTTGCTTGAGTGTGTGCAGGTCTTATGTATGCTGTCAGAGTCTCTGTGAGTTCCTACGTGTGTAAGGCCTGTTGGGTCTGGAAGATGCTGTTTCCTTGGAATCGTCCACCGTTTCTGGCTGCTGCCAACCTTTCACCTCCTGTGCTGCACAGATCCCTGAGCCTTGAGGGAAGGTTTGATAAAGGCGTCCTATTTAGGCCTGAGTTGCTCCTAAGTGCCTTCCTCTCTGAACATTTTCCACTTGTGGGTTTTTCCCAAGGGCCTGTGACCTATCTCTGATTCTTGGCCACATGAGCAGTGCCAGGTATAGATTCTATCCATGAAGTGGCCCTTAAGTCCAAGGGAAAGTGGTTGGTAAGTCACAGGGTTTGTCGCTAGGTGCAGTTCTTTTTCCCGTCCAGTAGCTTTAGAAGTACCCCCAGCACTACACTTCCAGGAATGCTTGTCAATACCGTTGCCCTCTAGTTGGACACCAGCTCAATTTCTCCATGTTCATGACCTAAGTGTTGTCTTGAGCAATGGGGCCTTGCTGTCTGATGGTGGAGGGTAACCAATAGCTTGGCAATAGCCTGTGGGTTATGGGACTCCTTTGGCCAATAACTCAACAAGATGCAATCTGGAATGGGGCAGGGGGCAGGGTTTCTTAGAGTTTTAAGTTGTCTAGTTGGAGCACTTGTCTCCTCCATTACAGGGTGACTCCATTTCCATTTCTTTCATATATGTGTGTGTTTTAGGGAGCTTCTATAGAAGTAGGTTTTCATATATCTTTTCAAAAGGCCTTTAGTGTGGATAAGCAAGTACCATGTAGTCCGATGTAGAGTCCTTTGGGTATGTGCCCCAGACTGGTAAAGCTGAATCTTGTGGTAGATCAGTTTTCAGCCTTCTGGGGAACATCCACATTGATTTTCATCGTGCCTTTACAAGTTTGCGCTCCCACTGGCAGTGAGTAAGTGTGCCCTTTTCCCTTCAGCCTTGCCAGCAGCTGCTGTCATATATTTTGTTAATGTTGGCCATTCTGACTAGGGTAAGATGAAATCTCAAAGCGGTTCGAATTTGAATTTCCATGATGGCTCAGGGTGTTGAACTTTTAAAAAGTGCTCTTAGCCATTTGTGTTTCATCTTTTGAGAACTCTGTTTAGTTCTGTATCTCATTTTTAATTGGGTTGTTTTGTTTTCTTGGTGTTTGATTCTTTTTTTTTTTTTTTTTTTGAGTTCTTGGTATATTTTAGTATTTTCCTATGCCAATGAATTCAAGCCTATTCCCCACTTTCTTTTTATCTGATTCAGCGTGTCTGGTTTAATGTTGAAGTCCTTAGTCCATTCGGAGTTGAGTTTTGTGCAGGATAATAGATACAAATCTATTTTAATTGTGCCCCCTAAGTTTGAGTATGTGTTTTCGTTTTCATTCAATTCTAAAAATAATTTAATTACTTTCTTAGTTTCTATCTTGACTCAATTTTCATTTACCTGTGAATTGTTCTGTTTCTCCAGCACACTATGTGACTTAAAATCTTAAAACCACATAGTGTATGGCTCATTTTATTTTACTTAACTTTTATAGACAAGATCTTACTATGTAGCCCTGGCTGGCTTAGAACTGTATAGCTTGGGCTTACTTGGAACTCACAGATATCCATTTGCCTCTGCCTTTTAAGTGCTAGGATTAAAAAGGAATGGGCCACCAACATGGTGGCCCTTTGTTTCAATCATTTTTGTATCTTTTGTTTTTGTTTTTTTCTATTGTAAATCATGAAACTAGATTACCTTCTTTTCTTTTTTTAAAAGTGTATTAACTGTGGTGTATAATCAAAGGGCAAATAGATAAGTGTGTTTTTTCTCTACTGTAGATGGATGTGTTATGATTTTTTTTTTTTACTTTTACTGATTCTTTGTGGATTTCACATCATGCATTCTGATTCCAGTTATCTCCCCATCTCCTCACATCTGACCTCTGCGCTTGCAACCTGTCTCCAAATCAAGACAAATTTAAAAGGAAACCCCTCCAAAAAAATACAAACAAAATAGAGAAACAAAACAAAACAAAACAAAAAGAATCTTATTGTAGAAGCTGTAGTTTGTCCCATTGACACACAGTTTACTGTTCAGTCCATCTTTACTAGGAACTGTTCATTGCCTGAGTCATTGGTCTGGCCCTGGGCATCTGTTTCTGCTCCACCACTGATAATGGGCCCTCCCTGGGGCTCCTCTTGGCTGTCCTGTTGTTGTCCTGTGTCATGGAGATCCTGCTGTTTCTGATCTGTAGGTTCATCCCTTCACATGCTCCAGCAGTTCATAGATTTGGTGGAG